GAGTTTTCGAAGTCTCTCGTCAGTGACTGGTTCCAACAGCTTGCAGAACCCGATGATGACACGCCCTGCTTGTGCAGAGCGCGTCTGGAATATCCTGCCCTGTTCGGCGAGGAATTCGGTCGCGACAATTTGAGGCGACGGAGTTTGTTGGTGGGGCGAGCTTCGATGACTCGTCTCGTAGATTGGCTCTACAAATTGTTGGGTGGGTGGTTGTGATGGCGGTTGTGGCCCGTTAAGGACCATTTCGACGTCAGGACGTGTCGAATGTAAGGGTGGGAGGGGGGGCTAGGGGCCAGCCTCTGCGGAGGACTGGGGCGGCATGGGTGATTCAGAGATGAATTTGTCAGTAAAATGTCGTGGGTAGAATGCGATAGTATCACTTGTGTGTGTCGAATTGTGCGTTTTGCCTGTTGCAAAAGTGTCGGTTGGGAATAGAGGATGAATTGATAGTGTGGCGGACAGCTGGTCAGGCTCTTTTGTAATTTCTAGGTGTTTGGCGGACAGCTGTTTTTGTTTTGTTTTGTTTTGTTCATTTACGTGCTAGGTATAGTAATTCCCGTTGCACTCCTACTGGAGCTTAAGCACGGGTGGGGCCGGGCCGGAGCAGGTTAACTACCATTAAGTACATCTACCTCGTTCCACCTGAATGACCTGACCACCTCAGACTTCACCCATGTGTTGAATCATGTCAAGCCCAACCGTCCAGAGAAACCCCTTTTGGCGCGCCGAAGCGCAAATTCCTCCTCAGCCTCGGCCACCACGCGCCCGAGCCCTTGACACCTTCGCCATCTGTAACTTTTCCCTTCGAATCATTCCCAGCTTTGACTCATCTCAGCATCTCCTCACCTCATCCAGGGGTCGTTTTCTTCACTGTAGGCCTCATCCAGGGGTCATTTTCTTCACTGTAGGCCTAATCCAGGGGTCGTTTTCTTCACTGGAGGCCTCATCCAGGGGTCATTTTCTTCACTGGAGGCCTCATCCAGTCGCCCACCAAGGCCTCCTCAGTTTGTGTTCCCTTTTGGTTCCTTCATGTAGTGGCGGACAGCTGGTCGGACTCTTTTGTAATTTTTAGGTGTTTAGTGCGCGCTAGAGCGTCGGGTAGTTCTGTAGGGACTGGGCCGTCCAGTACGTGACATTAGTCACGAGCTGTTGACGGGCACGACGTTAAATCAAATCAAATCAAATCAAATCAAATCAAATCAAATCAAATCAAATCAAATCAAATCAAATCAAATCAAATCAAATCAAATCAAATCAAATCAAATCAAATCAAATCAAATCAAATCAAATCAAATCAAATCAAATCAAATCAATCAAATCAAATCAAATCAAATCAAATCAAATCAAATCAAATCAATCAAATCAAATCAAATCAAATCAAATCAAATCAAATCAAATCAAATCAAATCAAATCAAATCAAATCAAATCAAATCAAATCAAATCAAATCAAATCAAATCAAATCAAATCAAATCAAATCAAATCAAATCAAATCAAATCAAATCAAATCAAATCAAATCAAATCAAATCAAATCAAATCAAATCAAATCAAATCAAATCAAATCAAATCAAATCAAATCAAATCAAATCAAATCAAATCAAATCAAATCAAATCAAATCAAATCAAATCAAATCAAATCAAATCAAATCAAATCAAATCAAATCAAATCAAATCAAATCAAATCAAATCAAATCAAATCAAATCAAATCAAATCAAATCAAATCAAATCAAATCAAATCAAATCAAATCAAATCAAATCAAATCAAATCAAATCAAATCAAATCAAATCAAATCAAATCAAATCAAATCAAATCAAATCAAATCAAATCAAATCAAATCAAATCAAATCAAATCAAATCAAATCAAATCAAATCAAATCAAATCAAATCAAATCAAATCAAATCAAATCAAATCAAATCAAATCAAATCAAATCAAATCAAATCAAATCAAATCAAATCAAATCAAATCAAATCAAATCAAATCAAATCAAATCAAATCAAATCAAATCAAATCAAATCAAATCAAATCAAATCAAATCAAATCAAATCAAATCAAATCAAATCAATCAAATCAAATCAAATCAAATCAAATCAAATCAAATCAAATCAATCAAATCAAATCAAATCAAATCAAATCAAATCAAATCAAATCAAATCAAATCAATCAAATCAAATCAAATCAAATCAATCAAATCAAATCAAATCAAATCAAATCAAATCAAATCAAATCAAATCAATCAAATCAAATCAAATCAAATCAAATCAAATCAAATCAAATCAAATCAAATCAAATCAAATCAAATCAAATCAAATCAAATCAAATCAAATCTACCAGACGTGTTGGCGCCTACACAGAGCCAACATAGCAAATGAAAACCAGGATCTTATAATCCTGTGATCGAGGATTTAAAGAACCATGAATATCAGCCTCCTGTTGTCTCTCGTGGTTTTCATATTGTATTCCATGGAGAATATAGAGCATAGAAATAAAATCAGTAAAGAGGAAAATTGGTTGTGTCGCTTTGAAGCTCTCTAGCATTTATTCCATGACTTCATTCTCGTAGGCATGAAGTTTTATGATAGTGCTATCTAATAATAAGTACAACCTAAAGAAAATGAATGGAAATAATCTAACAATGAAGTTGCTCCTTCATACTTAGATAGGAATAGAAAAATTGATAGAATTCATTGACAGCACCAGAATATCAACTAGGGCATGGCATCTTGAGAGAAGGGAGGAAAATTCCGGACAAGAATAAACTAGGTTTGAAAATATAACGAAAATATTGAAATAAGAGAAATATATATACAGGGCTTGTCCCTCACTGTCCATGAGAGCAAAGCATAAAATTTAACAGTTGGAACTCTAAATATGTAGCTAGTATCTTCTTTATAGATTCTAGGAGTCCTCAATAGTCATTGACTCAGTTAGGACTATAATACAAATCTAATCTCGTAATAAGTACATGGTGTCACGTGATATACATAGAATCCACTACAATACCGAATCCCAAAGACTTCAACCTGATAAATTATTTCGAAATTACAATTATACGTAAAAGTGTTTTCTAGAGAAAAAAATTATTGGGAGATTCAAAATAGCCAGGGTTCACCATCTTAAAACTAATAAAGATCTGTTTGTATCTATAGCGCCCAGATTCCCCAGTTATTTGGGGGACTATTCTCAACACCTGTCAGTGGTGTCCCCTACGAACCTCCAGTTCTCACTGTAGAGTCTGTAGAGCCGAGATTTAGCAAAAAAGTCCTCACTTCGATGAGGATTCCCAATCGCTTTCGCAGTCTGTATCGTCTTCATCTTTGAACACATTCCCCTATCACCATTATCATGAAGCTAACCACGATCAGATCAGATGGTAGGGTCGGAGCCCTACTCATCACCAACTCTTGATCATGGAGGAGATGCCATCCGATGAGTTTCCGGAGCGTACCCAGCACCCGATACGGAGATGGCGGACTGGATCAAGTCGACCTCGACTGTTACAAAGAAGGGAGATATAGATGAATATGCGCACCTCATGTGGTCCCGGTGTCTAGGCCTCGCCTGGCTGGGGCTGCAGGTTTTTTGAGACTTTTCCCCGTGCACGCAGTTTCCATTGCTACCATTTTTATTTTTTTTGGGTAGAAGGTTCCGTGGATGTTGTTATCACTTAATTATGTATATGTAGTTTAGCTGTAACATATTTTAGAGCATATGCCTGTTATGCCTTAGGCAGTAGTATCTGTAATTTAGTCTACCAAAAAGGACCCAATCATTAGGGATTGGGTCAAGTAATAATCAACCATCGTTTTCACCTAGTCCAACTATTCAGATCTGAATAATTAACCCAACAGTGGAAAAGGTGGCTGAATTCCACGGGTAAACACTGAGCTGAATGGCTATTCATCAAGGGAAATATATCAATGATCTTCCAAGTAACAAAAGAGGATAGGAGCACTGTACAAGGTGTGGCCTGGGTCAGAGAGGAGCCCAATGTGCTAGATATTCATAGACTCAAGTAGTATAATAAACACAAACACCATCCCCAGTTATCTGGCTCAAGAACCTATCTTGAAGCACTCGTTGATAATATTATTTTATTGAACATAGACTATGTTACATGCACGTGAGGACAAGCTAGACTACATACTTTTATTATTAATCGTGTTGATGATACAAGTGATCACTGTGTTGGTTATATCATCGTCAGTGTCACGTTATGCCAGTTTCTTGTTTGAAGTTACCTGGCCTAATTTTGGCCGACATCAACAGATCGTTTTGTTTAGATACAGGCTAACGGGGACACATAATTGACGTAATTAATTTCTAACGTTGCTCTTCAAATTTTTAGCGCTGAGGTCTAAACGTAAATTTCAAATTTTAAAATTGATTAGATGTGCCTAAAAAAATACTCTTCTCTATTCTCTCATCAGGGTAATTCATTGAAAGATTCGGTGAGATACCCGTGGAACTTGATGAGAAGGTTCATTGCAAGACTTGCAGCATAACGTTGTTGTGCCAGTTTTTTATGGCTAAGCACCAGAGTAACATGAATAGATTGAATCCAGTTATTTCCCGTTCTATTTCTAATCGTCGCTGAAGAGATTAATGCTTCCTAAGTCTCCTGCGGGTCTAAACCTTCCCTCGTGACTGACCATTGATGATCAGTCAGTCTAGTTTCTGATTTTCCCCCAACCTTAAACTAAGAGGTCAATGTTGGTAGTAAGTAGATAGAGGTAGACAGAATTCACCTGTAAGTACCAAGATCAACGGCGGGATATCTTGATGGACAACAGAGACGCACCAAAATTAGGTGATACTCTTTGTTAGGCAGACAAGTGTGATGCTAAAGTCCAGGTGAGGCTAAAGTATTTAAGCGATGCAGCTTAGGTAAGTATGTAGTTTTATATCTACAATAGATATGCGACCACTTGAACATTCTTGCTCACGTAGCCAGTATAGACGCGTCAGCGATTGAGTGAAGTTGGAAGGTCGTGTCTAATCATTTGGCTTCATCATTGCTATCAGATCCTCGTGGTTGTGATCCTGAAGAAGCCTGTTTGTTGCTGGCTCCGCTTTGAGACTGAGGATTATGAAAACTTTTGTTAGGGGTGTAATTACTATTTGTGTGATTATTTCTACGACCCTGGCTTCCAAATTGGTGCAGTTGCTGCGGCCCAGCACCATAGGTTTGATTACTGGGGCCGATGAAGGGTCGTATAGGCACTAATAGAGCATTAATCGAACTTCCATCAGAGGTGATTTAACTTACTCTGAACTGGGGGCGGTGGTTGTACAAACATCGGACTACCGTAACTGTGTCCTGAACTCATAGAGGGATTTATCCCATATATTGGTGGTTGATGAGATTGCTGTGAGCCTTGGCTAACCATCATGGGTGCAGCTCTCCCTGGACTCGGGTAACTATTCACACTAGGAATCGGAGGAGGGTGCCCATTCGTTACTGGTATAAAAGATGGTGGCTGGTTTCCTTGAAATATCATTTGAGGGCCAGGTGTCATAGCTTGTGAGGATATAAAAGCTCCAGATGGACTAGGTATAATCATCTGGCCCATTGGGTTCTGTTGGGGGAGGAACTGATGACTGTTGGAAAGTGACCGGAAGCTAGGCTGCATCGGGGGCGCACCTCCGAATTGCATCACCTGAGGATTATATGCAAGATGTGCGCTTTGATTGATCGGGGATTGATAGGCCATTGGTATATTCTGGAGACGAGGAGACGCGAAGGACTGCGCTGAATGAGATATTACCATACGATGGTCTTCTGGCCCAGTACTAAATGTTTGAGCCTGTCCAGGAGAGTTTCCGTGAAGGCCAAGATGCTCCTGGCGCGGAGATTGACGTGCTGTCAAATTATGGGATCCTTGCTGGAGACGAATCGGAATGTGTTGATGATGAGCAGCCTGGGAGTAGACGTGCATCGGATTGGGGGATGATATGGCATGTGAAGAACTGGACGATGTGTTTAGTAGCTGTTGGTAAGTGAGTCTTATAGAAGAGCCCTGTTTATCATCTTGTGTTGCCTGCTTCCATACTGGCGGCGTATCATAGGCTGGTCTTATGCCACCCGTTGCTTTCCAAGCCATCTCTCTTCCTGTAGGTGGTCTAAGACTCTTAATGTGACTTAGTGCATCAAAGTGACCCAATATTGAAGGTCTCTCCTCCAGGTCAACAGGTTTGCGACGAAGAACTGAGCAAGTCACTGGGGAGGAGAGATTTCCATTAACTGCTGGCCGGGGGATAGATCCATTACTTGGATGAAACGGTGTAGAGTGTGGGCTTGGATGAAACTCAGTGCTGTTCGGATTCAAACGGGCTGCATGTATACTTGGATTAATCATCGGCCTAGTTGAGAGTTCTTTGTGGGTCGAAGGACCGTTTGGAGGTTTTATATCATGGGTGGATACTGTGCTGCTAGGGAGCTGGCCTAATTTATTTTCTAACCCTCGTAGTCGATTTCCAAAATTCACTCGGTTTTGGTACAAAGATTTTTGGGGTGTACCTCTGAGGGGACTTTGTTGAGCAAAGCTAAGGTTACGGCCATTATTTGGTCGGCTTGGTACATTTGAGGGGGAAGACCCATGTGATGAAGGAGTAGGTCTACCTATATTTCTCGCTTCAGATATAGATACTGTTGGTTTTGTAGAGTCAGAATTGCTTGTTTTACTGGATTCAGCTTCTTCAGCATTTCGCTGTGCTTTTGCTTGAATTTCTCTTTGCTTCTTCGGATCTTTTGCTATAATAGGGACCAAATCAGAAGGAACAGGGGTGTGAAGCTTAAAATTGTTGGCAAAAGCTTTCAGGTCATTCAGTTTGACTTCTTTGTCGTTTTTAGCCCTGGATATTCTGATCTGATCAACGTTTTTTCGTTGCTGCGAGGCAAAGTTCTTGAAAGCACTTGCAACATCGCGCTCAACGGTCGCAGTAGCATTGGGAACTACTCCTTCTAAATTAATAAACGGTGTAGAATTACGACTTGAATTTGAAGGAGGCGTGACCTGGGTTTTATTCTCTGGTGTCATGCTGGTAGTTTGTGCTGGCTTGGGCGATATAATATCAGATCTGGAAGTTTTTATCGGCACAGCTTGAGCATCTGGTTTCTCAGTTGTTATTTTGTCGTGACGCGCAAGTTGAGACGATATGATTGCAGGATCAACAGGTACATTGCTGCTAGGAGCCTTCATTACAGCAGCCCGCCTACCGGGTGGCATATATTTATTACCACTTGAGATTGGAAGTGCAGGAAAATTGTGCGGCCGTTGAACACCACTATATCTGTATCTGTTAGCTTTGATAAGTTTTGTGTTCAAGCAATATTACTTGTCCTCTTCGTCAATGCCATTTTCAGCACTATCAATGTTATCTAAAATTCGCTCTTCGGCAACATGAGGATTAGTTGTAACACTGCGCTCAATTTCTTTAGCTTTCTTGTTAGCTTCAGCGACTCGTTGCTTGTATTGTGGATGTGCTCGGTCGATTGATGTTGTGTAAATATTCTCATTGTAGTCTGTTGTGAGGCCAAAAAGTCGTTTATTTTCTGCAAATTGATCCCAAGCTCCTGTAGTCTTATTTCTGGGTGTTTCGAGAAGACCACCACCGTCTGTCGGTGTGTCTGAAGTCCACCTTTGCAATACTCGTTCACCCTGAATTTTTCCACCAGATATAGCTATATCCGTTCGAAAAGAATTGATATTTCCTAGAGTTAATTATAAGTTAAGCTGTGTTGTGAAGCCCATAGCATGGACGTACCATTTGTTCGAGCTTCCGGCTTGAATATATTAGTTGTCTGGGTATCTTTACGTTGAAAAGGCATATTTTTTTGCTGGTATTTGGGAACTATTGGATTGGTTTCCTCAGCTGCTCTTCCCTGTATCATCCTCCAATGAACTGAGAACAACTTTGATTTTCGGATGCTGCTGATTCACTAGAAGTTGACTGTAATTCTGCGATAATATCTATAGCGAGCTGGCCGAATAATCAACTATATCAAAGTGAGTTCTGGCGAACGTAGTCGTCAGCCCTTTTTTTACAATTATTTTGTTTAAATTGTGTCAATTTCAAGTCTCCGGAGGTGAAAAATTATTTCGCCTCGTTTCCACGGAAACTTCTGTATTACTTTGAGCCTGGAGGACTATGTATTAAACTTTTCAATGTAATTAGACTGATACTTTCTAGTGGATTATATCAGGTTCATCAGCCGAGCCACGTATGCTACAACCCACAGACGATTTATCCAACCTTCAATAATACTGTTAGCGTAGATATTGATTGGTTTTGTTGAAAATTTGTTAGCTTTAGAGAAGCTCGTCCTTGCACATCAAGTACACTTTATTTTATATTGGAGGTCTTTAGGAGTTGTGGGCTTACCTTAGGGTGAAGAATGCGTCTACCTCTTCAGAAATTAAAGTTATTTCCCAAAAGAAAATAATCTGAGAACAAAAAACCACAGACTATCAGTGTAATATTGGTGAGGTACTTGAGTGGAGATAAACAAATAGAGACAAAGACGATAAGATAAACCTCGCAATAAAAACAAGATGTCGCGTGCGAATGGTAGTACTAATGACACACGAGTGTAGAACAAATAGACTCCCTCAAATCCAAATGCGCACACTCCGAATGAGGTGAAGAGCTGGCAAGGGATGCGAATAGGATCATCTAAATTGTTTTGTAACGATGAACGTTGTGAAAGACACGACAATGCTAAGGTGTGGTCCATTAGCCAGACACTAGCAGCGGGAGCGATCCCTGATTTAGCGGAAACATCATTAAGTCCTAGAGACGATCATAACCGAGGTATAAGATATGTCAATGAACAAAGTATCAGAATCATGACCCCAGACCCCACACATACCCAAGATTTCACTCAATCGTTAATCTAATAACATTATGAGTATCTTCTAATATATTTAGTGACCGAAGACACCTTTCATGTTTATTGCAAGTATAAATTCTGCACCCTCACTGCAGCAATTACCCGATGAGGTTAAATTGCTTGCTCATTCAGGTTGAATAAAGGTATATTACGATGTTTCGGAGGATACAAAGCTAGATTTAAATTCAATCAACCACAAGTTATGTTTTCACAAGGGAGATAGATGCGTCGGGATGAGTTTCAGTTTGGTCATGGGCAACTTAAGATTGTCAACGAGCTCCTAAGTATCACATTGACAATTATTAAATTAGATTCAGTTGTGCAGAGCTGGCAAATCTATTATCGTAAAATTTTATTCTTCAAGCGCCTAGATCTCTAGTATTACATGGCTTTTCTCAATTAATTTAATAGTCCGTACAGTATTGTAATATCAACATTCGGTCAAATATAGTTAACAAATAATATGCCACCTATCAAGTAAAATACTTGTGGAATTCACATCGGATTTAAAAATCCTACCAGAATCTGATTGATGACAATTGTCAAAAGTTACATACGGCTGAAAGAGTAATCTTCGGCGCTCGGAAATTTACTGACAGAGCGTTCATTTAAGTGCAAAGCTTAGAGAAGATATAATCATAAGAGGTATTTAGATGTTCGCTGGGTAGAAGTCCAACTCGTGTCCATGAGCTTAACTGTAGCTAAATTATTGCAGGATTATCAAAATTTATATGCACTCGCAATGTCTCTCATTTCGACATTTGAAATCTGATTTTTGAATGGCTGTCCTGAATGTCTAGTACTAAGAGACATAGGTGAAGGAAAGAATCTCATGAGTTGTCAGCCAATAATTTCTACTTACCGAATAGAGCAGCCCCAGTTTAGCGGCGATGGGACATGGGTAAGCTATTTCACATCGGAATAAGGACCATAGCCATGAAAGGCAGCAACTCCACTTCTGCGAGCGACAGACCCTAAAATGTCCTTCGTTCCATCACTGCTTTCCCAACAAACAAGTTAATACCGTCAAATTCTATTTGTTGAATCCAGGTCCAAACTAACCGCATCCTTATTGTAGAAATGCAAGCAGCGCCAAATTCTCAAAAAGTTGCAGCCCCTCGGAAGTCACCTGGACCACCGCAGTCGTCAGTGCCGTCAGGAGCAACGGCCCAAGTTACTTCTCCAGATTCAATTTCTCAGCAACGCACTTCTGCCCCATCTACCAAGGCAACTGGTAGTAACAGAAGGACTAATGTTAGTGTAGCCTGCAGACTTTGCAATTTTGTCACTTTATGAACTAATTACTCCCTCAGCCAAATCAAACAGCTCCAAATGCGAACTCACCACCCTTGTCACAAATTGAGAAGAGTGTCACGCATCTCCTGGTAGCTACGAAGCAGTTATTAGAGACCCTCACGCAATGGTCTCGAAGACAAGCTACAGACGCGCAAGTATCGGACGTGTATGTCCGTTTGGGATACGAGTTCAATATCGCATGTAGAGCGTTCACTACCATAAATGTTGACACTTCAGACCTTGGAAACGTACCAGATCTTTTGCGCAACATTTTAGAATCAACTCTGAGTCAAGAAGCAAGTGTTGAGAGCTTGGAAAAATACCTACCTCAGATACGAGATATTATTATAAATCTGCTTCATGGTCTGAAACGCAAGCAACAAAGACTTCGCCAGAAGCAAAACAGAAGTCTGCCCCCAGACTCCTCGGGTACTCGTAATGCTAGTCTTAACAGCATTGGTAGCAGTAGTGGTGGTACAATTCCTGGAACAATTTCAGACCAAGGCGCCTTAGATAACTTCCAGAGAAACAGCGAAAACAGATCCAGTACTTCTGCAAGCGATACTGCAATGGCTCCTAGGGGCTCCATGACATTAAACCAGAGAGCAGCCCTCACTCGAGATCAGATCAGATCCTCTACCTCCTCTGGCGAGTCATCCATCTCAAGCGCCATCATGCAGACCATGCCTGTTCTTCCTCCTTCAAAGCCATCCAAAGATATTCCCGCTCAAACCCGTATTAGCTCCTCCAACTCAATGGTAGACTCTTTTCCACCTCCACCTCCACCCCCGAAAATTTCAACAAATGCACTTGCAGCTTTGCAAAGAGGTGGAGAATTGGAAAGACGAGCTTCCAAGAGGTATTCAGCTTATCAAATTTCCAAGCATTTAGGCGCCTCACCAAATGGAGTTCCAATTTTACCCCAGAATACACCTATTCCGAATAGAGGTCGGAATGATACTATGGAAGGCGTAAGGGCCGTTCAAAACCGGGGTCAACCAAGAAGACTTCACTCAACGCGGCCATCCAACGATCTAACATCATCATCTAGATCAAGTAATATTAACGGAGAGGACAGTTTGAAGTCATCTGATTCCTACGTATCTCCAAATAGTGATGGGAATCCATTAATAGTACTCCCAGATGATAGATCATCATTAAACAATTCATCTAGTCAATCTCTACCGTCTATTTCTTTTCCACAAGCCGTCAATCAGCCATCCAACACAACTTCTGATGATGCTGAGAAAATTTCAAACCAAGCTAGTATAAAGTCTTCTCTAGCCTACACTATACCTGGCTCAGCACGTTCAAGGTCCGAGGAAATAACATCGGCAGAAGTTTCACCAAGAAATGAAAAGGAACTAACACTTTTCCTGCAATACAAAACCAAAGTTAAAAAGTTTGTATTAGTTGGTGGCTATAGTGACCTCTCAATTGCGAGGCTACAGCTAGCTTTCATTGAGAAATTTGCTTGGAATACACATCATAATGGCGTCGACCTACCTGAAATTTTTATCCAAGACCCAGTATCTGGAGTTCGTCACGAGCTTGAGGACCTTGATGATGTAAAGGATCGTTCAGTGTTAGTTTTAAACATAGAAACATTGGATGAAGTAAAACGTCAAATTGACGATGGTTTGGGGGGGATTAAGAAAATGATCGAGGGTGTACGGACGGCTGTGGATGACCAACAAGTTACTATTCAACGTGTTTCAGATAGACAGCAAGAGACTGCTAAGGAAATAGCACGAATCAAATCCTCTCCACCATCCATACCGCATGAGCCTAAACCAGATTCACGCTCAAATAGCTTGAATTTCAGTCCCAAGAAGGTAGATAACATCGTTCAACAGCAGGAACTACAAGCGATTCGTCGGGACTTGGCAGTGGTTCGACAAACCTATTCGACGTTCCAGTCTGATATACAAGATTCAATGAATATTCTTCGAAAAACAGCTGAAAATGTCAAGACAGCTGCGGCAAAAGCGTCTATCCCGGACTTATCTGGTGAATCTGGAAGAAGCTATGTAGACAGAGGAAAAAAAGGACTTGACAAAGATTCGGATAAACTTGTGGCCCAAGTTGATGACCTGCAGGACTTGGTCGAAGATCTCCGGAAAGATGTAGTGCTTCGTGGAGTTCGACCACTCCCTCGCCAGCTAGAAGATGTTTCAAAAGATATCTCACAGGCTGCCGCAGAACTTAAAAAAATGCAGGATTTCTTAAAGCGCGAACGACCTATTTGGACCAAGATCTGGGAGAAGGAGCTCGAACGTGTTTGCAAAGACCGTGAAGATATGACTCTTATTGAAGATCTCATTGTTGATCTCGAAGATGACCTAAGTAAAGCATCACAAACATTTGCTCTGGTTGAAGAGGCTACACAAGAGCAGTCAAAAGATCCCCCGGGGTCCACAAGTGCCAGTCGTGCTTTGTCCCGAGGTCTCAACCACGTTTTGGCAGCAGATCCTGCTGTAGCGAAAGAGGGTGTTCTAGATGAAGTCCGAGCGCTACAACCGAACCACGAAAACCGGATAGAGGCTATACAGAGAGCTGAGAAGCTTCGCCAGAAGGAGTTGGAGAGTCGCCGAGCAGGTGAATTTGAAAAAGAACTTGGGAGTTTCGTCGAAGAAGGCAAGTTGAAAAAAAGTGGTGGATTTGAGGAAGTTGAGCGGGCACGCAAGCAAAAGGATGAGCGGATTCGGATGGAAGTTTGGGAAAGACAGAATGGTATGACGCAGGCGGGTGCTTTTCAGCTACAGTTAGACTTCGAGGCAATGGATGAAATGGAATCTGTAGAGAAAGAAATGAGAATAGCGATGGGTAATCAAGATACCGATGAATTATTATGAAAACTGGATTGCAGGGCCACCCGATACCTTCAACTTGTCTCAAATACTATTGGATAAAAGGCGTTATTTTAAATCTTTTTATGATAGACTTCATACTATTTGGATATACCGATACTTAGCTCCTACTCTTTAGATGATGAAGTGATCGGAATCGATCTTTATCACGTCTAAAATTCGACAAATCTGCTTTCTACTTTGAGACTAGCCGTTGCGAGGAGCAATAATATCCATCCAAGGATCAAGCTTCCAACGTAGTTCAAATTCCGCGGGGCGATGAACATGCCAATCTCAAAAAATTGCTGGTTTGATGCCTTAGGGCCGTCTTTGTGCCATCCAAAGGGATAAGAGAGAAATGTTCTGCCGTCAGATCGATAAATGCAGTAATCTCGCATTAATTTATACATTACTTTGAACAGAGGCCTATCATTTACGCCGTCTTCTCACACGCCCATACTTTTACAGATACTCCAGACTCCAAGTAATGACTAGTGCACTAGGTATTGACTGCTTACGAGATGCGCACGAGCGATCCGAAATAGCTCTAATATCTCTAGAGACTTCAAAAAATAAGTCACAGACTAGAGATTTTGACACAGCAAATTGTCGGAAACGAGTTAGGGCAGGGAGATTGTAGGCACGAGGGTTTTTGTTAGGCCGATCAGGCGTACGAGAGAGGAGTTCCTACAACCCTCAACTGGTAGACTGTCTGCTCGCAGTATTCATTACAGACTTGAGAGTACGTAAGTACTCAAAGAGAGAGTTCACTGCTCCTTATATATTGATTAGAACCAAGATCTAGCCGTCAAGTAGGTCGATAAATTTGGATCCAATCCTCAGACTTGGTAGCGATCAAGGACAAATATCTGAGTCAAAGAAAAGTCATTGTCAAGTCTGCTTAGGATGACTAGAGCCTAACTAGACTCTATCCTAGATCTTTCTGGCCAGCTCTGGTGGTGGAAATCATGGGGTTAGACCTGTAGACTAGAGGCAGAAGAGGAGAATCAGGCCGGGCACTAGTGTGGAACTTGAGTAGAATCCGCTCTGAAAAATTAAATAAAACCCTTGTAGCCACGAAGAGCTTGAAGTGCCCGCTTCAATACCTGATTAGACATGTCTAGGATTGTAGAGTGCTAGAAATAAATAACTTCAGACTGCTCCTCAGCAAAGATGTACTAAGCGGCTAGCACAAGCATTGCCGTGACTAAGGTTTGAAGATCATGGAAAGTTGTGAGAGGCGAGTAGGCTCTTTAATGTACTATTGGACTATTTTTTGAGTCAGATTTTAATTGCGTATGCAGACAGCTGGCTTTGACACAACATCAGAGAAAAAATACAGAGCAGATGACTCAATGTAAAGGAAGAGTACCTATGCCTCGGATTTCATTTGCAAGTATCACTGCGAAGTTATGCCGGCTTTTTCTGCACCCTAAGTCAATCCTTATCCGTGAATACCCACCCAGGGGAACATCTCAAAACCCCTGAGTTATCCAGACATGCCTCCGTCATCCATCAACTTTTCTCCGCGCGAGATATGGTCTTGGGCATCTCCTTCCCAAGTGGAGTAGGTGCCCAGGCTACTCAAACCATACCAGAGAACACCACCAGGAGGTAGACCACGGCACCTTCTATCGTCGGCTTGTTTTTATTGTGTCAGCTGCACTCTTGCAAGCGAAGTCTTGGCGCACACACAGCTCAGTTCGCAAGACTTCTTGCCCAAATTGGGGATTTCCCGTCCGTCAAGACTGTATCGATCCTCTGCATCGTCCTGTAAGCTTTACCAGATCTTTTTCACGTCCGCCTCAAAGGAATGTCTCCCAGATTTGTGCGCCACACTTTTTTTCTCCGTCGGGTGTAAATGTCGGCGTGGGCGTGTATTTGGTGAACAGCTGAGGCCAGAGAATAGATGATGAGAGGTGTGGTCATTGAAAGAAGTATATACTGGGTCGTACTTGTGGACTTGTTGAAACTTGGATAGGAGTCGATCTGGTTGGGAGTGAAAAATTGACGTGGTGGAGTATTTTGAATCACTGTCTCGTGGGCCAACTTGTTCGGTATTGCGAAATACGACTGAATTTGGGTCTGGAAGAATATTTTACTCCTAGATTCGTAGAGGACACCGCGTACAGGTGTTCAGTCTTGTCCTCCTACTATCGGACTTGTTAATCAGGAGTCAGCGGCTGGAAACTCTTGGTGTTGAGCTCAAAATTTGTCAGCTAGTTACAATCTCGAATCACCGTTAGCCAAGTGTGAGACCAAATGGTCAAGGATTATGATGTCCCATTATCGGTCCTCACATGAAAGCCCATAAAGATGAGCGTGCGGCATCGACTCGGCCAAAAAAGAGGCAAGGGTGAGCCAGGGATCAATGGCTTCGTGGCAACGCAGTCCGGCCAGAGAAAGCTGGACGCAAGTGTGCAAGTTTACAAAGATTAACCATGTACAGGGAAAGGTACGGGTCAAGCATGGCCACATAGAAATGGTATAAGCAGAGCACGAGGGCAGGTGTTCCTGAACCTTAGCGCATCGGTATAATTTCATCATTATGACCTGAGCCTGTCTGTCAGAAATCATTGGTAAGTTGGAAGCCATCTACCCACTACATATGTTTCGTCTCTCGTAATGCCTGTTATGAACTCTAATATCCTAGTATCTCTTTACTAATTGTGAGTCCTAAGCTAAAGTTCAAGATCCACCTTGGGCACAGGACCAGAGCCAGCGGGAATCACTACACACAGGCTCGACTTACTGGCACTGCATAGACTCTTACATCAGACTAGTTTGGTTTCTTTTGTACTACTTAAGTCCAAGACCATCCAATGAGCTAGTTAGTCATAGACTCAAGTAGCACAATAAACACACACACAAGTCCAAGACCATGTCAGGTTGGCCTTCTGTGTAATGTATTGGCGTGCAGTTAAACTTATTATGGTGTTCAACGATAATGGTTCGGCCTTCTGACCGAGTGGATGTGCACCTACGTTGTGCACAATGTAGAATGGCTATCTATAGCGTGGATTTGTAATTTTATACCCTTGTCTTTGTCTCGTAGCCTGCATGCTGCACTGGCAGATGATTTAGCACGTTGGGCTTCTGTTTGACCCAGGCTACACCTTGCACAGTGCTCCAGCCTTCTTTTTTTACTTGAAAGATCTTTAGCGTATTGCCCGTGATGGATAGCCATTCATCTGAGTAGTTACCCGTGGAATTTAGCTATCTCTTCCACCTGTAACTAATCAAAAAACCTACAGCCCCAGCCAGGCGAGGCCTAGACACCGAGACTATGTGAGATACACATATCCATCCATATCTCTCTTCTTTGTAATATTAAAGGCCATCTTGATCCAATCCGCCATCTCCGCATCCGATGCTGGGTACGCCCCGAAAACCCATCGGATGGCTTCTCCTCCATCATCAAGGGTTGATGATAAGACGGGCTTCAACCCTACCATGTGATCTGATGGTGGTTAGCTTCATGATAGTAGTGTTAGGGGGATGTGTTGAGAGATGGAGACGATACATACCGTGAGAGCGGTTGGGAATCCTCATCAAAGGACGCAGATAACACTCCACCTTTGCTGTGCAGAATCTGTACTGAACGCCATTGATATGCGTTAAGAATTGTCCCGCTAATTCACGCAGTACATATGCGACATCCATGTTACGGAGCGGTGGCTTACATCAATCATGATTTAACAGGTGGCCTATCGCTGAGAGCGGGTTAATCTCCAAACTCTTCTCCTTAGAAATGACGTCAAATACAATAGGGGAAGGAAGACTCTACACCCGTTGATGATGTCTCTCTCGAACCCCCACCCCTCACCACAGATTCTGCACAGCAAAGGTGGAGTGTTATCTGCGTCCTTTGATGAGGATTCCCAGCCGCTCTCACGGTATGTATCGTCTCCATCTCTCAACACATCCCCCTAACACTACTATCATGAAGCTAACCACCATCAGATCACATGGTAGGGTTGAAGCCCGTCTTATCATCAACCCTTGATGATGGAGGAGAAGCCATCCGATGGGTTTTCGGGGCGTACCCAGCATCGGATGCGGAGATGGCGGATTGGATCAAGATGGCCTTTAATATTACAAAGAAGAGAGATATGGATGGATATGTGTATCTCACATAGTCTCGGTGTCTAGGCCTCGCCTGGCTGGGGCTGTAGGTTTTTTGATTAGTTACAGGTGGAAGAGATAGCTAAATTCCACGGGTAACTACTCAGATGAATGGCTATCCATCACGGGCAATACGCTAAAGATCCTTCAAGTAAAAAAAGAAGGCTGGAGCACTGTGCAAGGTGTAGCCTGGGTTACAGAGGAGTCTGATGCGCTAGATAGTCTGTGACTGATATAGTACAATAAATACATACTCAATCAAGCTGTAGAGTCTATTCCTAGTAACTAACGGGGTTACACCAAGTACGAAAGACCAAATTGTAGACAGGGATCAAACCTAGAGCTGTGCGTCCAATTGCAGCACTTCCGAGTTGATCCATAATACGCATTGTCATCATCTGCATACATAGCTTCTTGGATCGTGCAATATTAAAAAATTAATATCTGTTGTCGGTAGATTAGAATTGAATAAAAGCGGACTCTTACATTATTAGTGTGATTGACTATAAATTCACCACATCTTCTTCAGTTGTGGACAGAAGCAAACATCATCTACTTTTCTCGTAAATCGCAAATCGCAATCAACTGCTTTTCAAATATTGTTGTTTTTTATCACTCGGAAGATTCAATTTCCACGCAAGATATCTCTTCTTTACCAAAAATTTCCTGAGGATATGACTAGATATTTCTAAACACGATGCGCTTCCTGCAATTTAAGTAACGACAAAAGTATTAACCTCGCCTTCAAATCTAATTCTTATCTAATACTGCCAAGCTTACTTCACGTTTATACTCCACCAAAAGCAGTTTGAAGGAGTAAAAAATTATGTCTAATCAAATATTTTTCACCCACAAGATAATGGCATCAAGGGCCATTGAAATATTTTATCTCATATTCTCATTCTCACGTTTTTCTCCTAATAACACCGATATCGAAATTTGGAAGCATCTATTAATCTAGGAGACATATATGAGCAATAACTCGAGTATCACGTATCTTCGTTCGTAAACTTTGGTGCGAACCATGGGTGGACGACGGCGCAATAAAAATGTGCCGGAGAAGCGATGCAAATACTCAAACACGCGTTGAAGAAAGAACTGACGGTATTAATGTTTGAGGACGTTGAGGGGCTTTAAGAGAAATTCTTTGAGAAGACGCTTTGAGCGAGCAAATTCTAGAAGATTTACGAGAGCTATACTAACAGGAAAGACAAAGAATCGTTTAAATGTCCGGATGATCGTACGAAAACGAATGTATGGCAGTGGATCAAAACCGTCCAGACAAAATTTATCGAGCCATATTGGGATCGACCGGCTGAGAAAGCAGCAGATAAAGCCAATACACCGAATACACCAAATGAACCCGACCGAATCAACGCATCGAAGAAGAGTATGATTTTTCCTCTGCGTGGACAAAATTTCCGGACAACTAATGTAACACAAATCAAAGGCTGCCCTTCTTTCCGACAAGTCGAATTTTTCATCAAGAAACGCAGCCTTCGCCGCGGTACTCCTCACAGCTGGTGGGATATACAAGTCTTGGGCGAGTTCATAAAGTCATCCACTAGTGTGTGGATGGATAAGTTTCTCCAACTTGCCGTGTACTTGGGGGAAGTGTTTACGGCGCAGCCATTACGAAAGTTTGTGCACGGATTCCATTTTCTTGACAAGAAATCGTAACTGGGTTTTCGATCGATTAGGACCCAGGTCTGCCGGTTTTATCGACATCGGCGAGAATCCGGAGAAGCTGATCTACGTGATCACTGCGTATATGCTGATGAGCGACAAAGAGCTTGCGATTGATACAACAGTACGACATAAAAAAGCTCAGATAATCATTACTGTCACTGATGCCAACACCCAAGAGCCTCGCACTCTGATTCTGGAAGCTGAGCCATTCATCGCACAGAGGGCGATCGGCTCCCGTGGCACAGCTTGCTACCGCGCTCTGGATAGGACGTACGTGGTCAAAATTTCATGGAGAGCAGTGGATAGGTTGTCTGAAGTAAGCCTTCTTATGCAGGCACGCGACGTGCGAGGTGTGGCTCGGCTTATTGGCTCACGGGATGACTCGAAGATAAGTAACCTTCGCAAGGGTTTGAAAATCACGAGTGAGATGAAAAGAGACGTCCATCCAGACGACTCTCTTATGACAACAACCGTCGAGCCAATAGAGGCAGGTCCACCGATTCCGGTCCAAAGTAATGAGCAAAGTACATCTGAGAAGCGTAAAGACCGAGCCGAGGACAGTATTGGCGACGATGGCGACGAGAGAAGCAAGAGGATACGCGTGTCAGATATCGCAGGAGAAGCGCAGAAAAATGCAGCAGTGATTAGCGATCAAGGCAACGGAAATCCGACAGGCTCAGGAGAGGTAGCACCTGTGAAAATAGTGCGCCGCTCGACGAGAATCAGCTCTGGAGAGCCAATCAAATACTTTGTCCAAACTCGAAAAAGCGGCCGATCCTGCAAGTCTGAGTCCAGCAAGTCGGGATCTAAAAGACGTCGAAACCCGGATCTTGCGCAAGAGAAATATTCTGCCGTGCCTGATCGTGAGTTGAAAAGGCTTCGGATATCGAGTACTGCCAGGGAAACGGTGTCTGGAGATGGAACAGTGCCAATTTCTACCCAGGTGGGCCCATTTACTTTTACTCCTGGTGACTGAAAAGGCAATGACACCGATGCGACTCCTGCTGCTGTCAATGACCGAGAAGCAGCTGATCCCAGCACATCAGAGTTATCAATTGCCTGTAGGGGTCTTCAAAAGACATTCATTCCCACTGAACCTTGTGGTAGGTCTATTGGCGAGGAAACCACAGCTCTTGACCTGCAGCAGGGTATGCGTGATGCAATCTTGGTCCATCGGTCACTTTTCATGGACGCTAGGATATTGTATCGGGACGTGTCTATCAATAACATCATACTGACCGATCCTGCTGTTAACAATAGTCGCTATGGGTTATTAATAGATTTTGACTTGGTCATATCGTTGATTGATGTGAATAGCGATGAGGATACGCTAACTTTAACTGGAACTATGGAATTTATAACCCTCGGGATCTTACAAGCCAACTTTTATAACCCAGATATAGGATATAAGCACACGTATCGGCATGACCTAGAATCTTTCTTCTACGTCCTCATCTCACCGTGCATACTATTTTGCTAGGGAAAGAAAAGCTTAGTTCGTACTAATATTTTAGCCCATAGACACACAGATAGAATTGAATATGTACTTGAACAAAATCGAATCCTCTTTCTCTCAATTTTTTAAGCAAAATGTATTAGACCACTTCTCACCGAAGTTCAGTCTTGTTCAATCACTAGTTACAAGACAGAGGAAAATGATTATCAATAGATACGTGAGCATCTATACAAGAAATAGTCCATCAAAAAAACTACTGTATAGTGCCATAAATAATTTAACAAGGAAGTGGAGAAGATAAAATTTGATTTTAAATAGTTATAATCCTACCTCCACCTAGCCCTCAGATAATGTATGCCCATGTGGTACTTGGACATCATTAAATAGCATCTGCATGTCAAAATTTTTCTTTAGCCAATCTGCTTCCCATATCTCTGCCTTAGAACTGCCTTTCTGCCACTTCTTGTGATTTTGGCTATCTCTTTCAGGAACTCAGCTCTACTCGACCGCCGCAAAACGCGCTCGAAAACTAGTTATTTTTATCTGTAGCTGCAGAGGAGTATTTCCTTGCAGCCAATCACTCCTGGAACACCGGATACTAGATCTCTGCGATCTCGACAAGTACCGAACCAAACGCGAAAAAGATGACTTTTCGTGAAAGCAGAGGCAGAAGTAAGGGATTCAAAACTGCCTTTGTTTAATAAAGCTGTTCCAGCCTTTGCCCCATCTGTTGGTTGAGACGTAAAAAATAATGAAGAAAAAATCGAATCATACGATGGCGACTTCAAAAAATTCAAGCTCTTAGCCGCAGCCCTCGACCTCTGGTTTACGAAATATCCGGAAAAATATGAGTCATCATACTCCCGAATTGCATGCATCGCCGAACATTGCATCGGCCGTGCCGGTGGCTGGATGACTTCTATTGTGAATGGAGAGAGAGCCGAACTACTTGAGAATTACTCTGAATTCATAGTACAATTTAAGGATACATTCGACGACACTCAATACTTGCATCGCATGCAAGCCCAGTACTTCGAACGCCACACAACTGGCTCTGTAGCCAACTTTTTAATTCGGTTTGAGGAGACAGTAAATGCTTGTGGTTACAATTCTAAAATTATGGCCCCTAAGTTCTTGAATCACATGAAGCATGAGATAAAAAAATACCTGAAATGCCCTCCTACTGTCAGAGGAAAGCTAAGAATGATATAGTAGGGTCTAAATCATGAGCTATATTTTATCTAAAGTAAGAAAGTTCTATGTACACGAAATTATCATACAAACTGTGTGCCGAGGCCGGAAGATTATCAGCCGAGCCTAACCAGATCAAGATGAGTATGATTAGGCGAGCGCATGCTTAGTACAGTTCACAACTGTTACACCTACACTTGATGGGAAGGGCGTAAGATAGTTCGTAAGCTGGATACCAAATTCGACAACAATCTCTTACAAGAAAAGAAACGACTGTCCGCCTACCAACACTTCTCTGCCTCTGGTACTAATACTCTTCCTCTACGTGGTGCTGCTCAGGCACAACTGTTGTAACTAAGACATAAACATGACTGCAGTACTTTATGTTGGAAATTCAGGCTCTGTATGTCTGAAGTTTCCCTATGACTGGAACAACTAAGATTCTCACACATGACTCACGACTAAGATGATTGATATCTTCTTTATTGAGCATGTTTGATGCTTTAGACTCGACTAGCGCATGGTATGGTTTGATACCCGTGTAGACTTTTATCCAACGATCCTGACCCCATACTCATGTTGTATACTCTCGTGCGATTCATTGTCATTTTTAGAGTATGAAATGAGTGATGGATGGTATCTAGTTCGGATTTGGTGTATTAAGTACGCATGTATATAAGCTGTCTATGAATCACCAAGACAGATAATCTAATTAATTCAATTCATTCAATCCATCTTTTATTTCTCCGCAGTATATCACATGTTCTCCTGATTCATATCATTATTATTCTATTCGTTAATCGCGCCCATATTCTTTGAGCCGCCTTACTCATAGAACCCATGCCGATTTTGTTATAGATTATGAGACCAATATGACTCTAAGTATAGTCGTCAATTTTTCTCGTTCGGATTCAATTCTTTTGATTCCGCCCCATCTCCGATACGATGTAACAGTCCATCGATCGATCAATTCTGCAAAACCCTCACGTCTACTTTCTTTGTCGATTATCGCCTACCGAAGTCTCTCACACTTTCCCAGCGCAACTCTCCCTCCATACGTTCCCAACTTGGAGCCTATAATGCCTTCTGTCTGTTGTAGAAGAGGAGTTTTTTGGCCTAGGGATATTCTTCGTTGGAGGAGCCGTGGCACTACCTCTATGTCTTTCTCCCTCCAAACCTTCCCGAGTTCTCAACCGTGTGTGCCTTCTATCTAGTTTAGCAGGAGAGTTTTTGGTTGAGGGGCACTATTATTTGGAGGAGCCGTGATGCCCATTCTTTAGTCTCAGTCAATGACTGTTGAAGGAAGTGAATAGAAAAGGGAGAGAAATAATTCGACTAATTATGATGACAGGGTATTGCAAACAAAATTTGATGGGATATTTACCGGTCGCCTACTATTATTTTCTACTTTCTCTCAAGCCGGCCACAATACCGACTTGAATTTATTATACTTGGAAGATTTTTCTTTCTGTTGGGTTGGAACACTTACCACCTGAAATCACTTACCTAATACCTTTCTTCGAATACATTCTCTAACAAGCTGGCACTTCCACCACTTGACCTATTAACTTGTCGCCATTTTTCTTCCGCCAATGCCGTTCGAGGCACAATTATACAGCCAGCTGTCCCTTTCTCATCCACCTCTCGGGACCTCTTCAGTCTCCTCGCCGCCCCTCGTTGGGATTTCTTCTAAGGCCACTCATATTTAAAGGTCTTCCCCTCCGGACGTAATGTTTTCCCGCCACACATATGTTGCTTGAGTTGGGTTGATGGATATTATGGTTTCACCTGAGTTGGTCGATCTTGTCGGTCAGGAGGATTGTTGGAAATGGAGACATGAAGCGTTGTGGAAGTGCGGGCCCTCCATTTCGTCTAGTTTCCCGACACGAACTTGTGTGTATTTAAGAGGTTGGAATGGGTAACATGGTAGCGCTTCAGGCTGCCTACTGGACATATGAGCGGCTGTATGGCGTGAGTACAAGGAGGTTATTGGGGAGTTTTCTATACCTAGATGGCGCCACACTCGTTTATGCTGTGGCTTAGGCTCTGTGTCGCTTACACTTGTACATTTTTTAATCATTTAATTAAACTTGTACTTGTAGCGCACACTTCCCACACTTTTAGCTGTAATCCGAACATGACACTCTTTTGGTTAACTTCTTCTTTTGTTCCGTAAAGATTACACCCATTTCATTGTGCGATATTTCCAATACGAAGTGAGGACAAGGTTGTTACTCAAACTTGACCCTGCAGCCTCCACAGTGAGAGCTGGAGGCTCGTAGGAGACACCACTGACAGATGTTGGGAATAGTCCTCCTACCAATCTATGAATTACTCTTCTTCTTGCATTTAACGCCTCGTAGAAATTACAAGCTTCATTTCTTCGGGAGTTTGTCATGATCATTCTTATTACTACTGATAACCTCTACAAAATCCCCTGTTAGATCCTACAAGTGTATGGATCATATTGATCAAGTTCAGGGCTACTCTAAGTCATGTCGCCAAATATAGAGTCGTCAATAGCTCGCCGGAGAATAGAATTGTGTCCCCTCAATAAAATTACACAATGTGGTCGCCAATCCATCTCCGGTATGGTAATAGGCAAATCCAGCAAAAAAATTCCCTGCAAAGTTGATAATTATATAATGATCGAATCCACCTTTGGCCAACCTATTTAGCGAGCTGGATGTTCAAGGGAGGAATGAGATGTTCTTACCCATTCCTCGCACCTTATTGTATCCAATATGATAAGCGTAAAGCGATTCGTTGGGAAATGGGTCAAGGGTGCATTTTTCAGGCTAGAGACACTTTGTGCGAGTTTTTGATACGCTTTTGCGGAAAAATCTACGATTTTCTTTTCGTCGTAAACTGAATCTGCTAGACATGACATCCTGAAGTTAGAGTTTAAAATAGGACGTCTGGCTCCATTACTGAAGATTTGACCTTCATCCGTTATGTGAATTGAAGCCGAAATAACGTCGAATAAGGCCACTGTAGCAATAGAAAAAAATTTCATTTTGCAGCAAGCTTATACCATTCAGCTCGGGGCTAGATTGGAGGGACTGTCGAGTAGATGAGGATAGTACAGGTTGTAAATTTATAGCGCAGACAAATTTCAGAAGCAGCTAGCGATTGCTTTATATATTAAAGAATTCGGACAGCAGAGCTTTCATCCTTTCCTTTTTTGCCAGCTCATCTGAATGGGGCCATCCTACCAGCACGGCAAGTCTCGGCATGATTCTGCCTAAGTTTCTTGGCAATCAGCGGCGAATTTCGAAATTGTCATTAATGTAACACTTGTAGATACTAATCTACTGAGAAATTTAGCACATTTGTCTTTTTTTGCATCAGATTTTAATTGCGTATGCAGCTATCTAGCTATGACACAATATCAAAGAAAAGTACAGAAAAGATGACTCAATTTACAAGAGGAGCACTCATGCCTCGGATTTCATTTGCAAGTACCACTGCGAAGTTATGGTGGCTTTTTCTTCACCCCAAGTCAACCCTCATCCGTGAATACCCACCCAGGGGAACGTCTCAAAAACCCTGAGTTATCCAGACATGCCTCCGTCATCCATCAACTTTTCTCCGCGCGAAATGTAATCTGAGATGTCTCCTTCCCAAGTGGAGTAGGTGCCCAGGCTACTCAAACCATACCAGAGAACATCACCAGGAGGCGGACCACAACACCTTCCATCGTTTGCTTGTTTTTATAGTGTCAGCTGCACTCTCGCAAGCGAAGTCTTGGCGCGCACAAAGCTCAATTCGTAAAACTCTTGCCAAAATTCAAAATTCCACGCCCGTCGAAAACGTATCCCTCTTCTGCATCATCTTGTGAACTTGTCCTGATCCCTCTCACGTCCATCCCAAAGAGCTATCTCCCAGATTTGTGCTCCACGCTTTGCTTCCTCCGTCGGGTATAAATATCGGCGTGGGCGTGTATTTGGTGACCGGCTGAGGCCAGAGAAAGTCGACGAGAGGTGTGGTCATTGAAACGAGGATGTACTAGGTCGTACTTGTAGACTTGATGAAGCTTAGTTGAGAATCGGACTCTTTGGGAGTGAAAGATTGACATGGTGGAGTAATTTGAATCTTTGCCTCGTGGGCCAACTTTGATATTGCGAAATTTGACTGAACTTGGCTCTGGGAGAATATTTCACTCCCAGGTTCGTAGAGGACACCGCATACAGGTGTTCAGTCTTGCCCTCCAGCACATTTGTCTGCTTGTGTATTGTATAGTTATTGTTATCGTCCTACTAATCCAATGGCCATGTAGACATGCAGGTCCCTTCCGGCTTACCCGCTACTGGTTGTCTAGGGTAACCTGGGTGCCCAGCCTTGGATGTGATCAGGACTTGGCCAACAGCTGGGCCTCTCGAGCAGAATTAGATCTTTTGGTATTGGATATGTAAGCTGATTGTCTGGGCACGTTGTGTTTGCGCACAATCCAGTACAGTGCGGATTCGTAATAACGATATGATCCCGTGAGGCGATCTTATATTGTTGTGACGTGATGATGATGAATGAAAGTCTATTTGTGACGGGGAAAAGCCCTGCACTCGGAGCTTCATCACTTCATCGAGAGACTAACGTTTTTTCCCCTAGCAGAGATGTATCTTGTGACTCAATTTTCTTACTTTCCATCGTCTCAAGACGTTCAGATGCCCCCCGGGAGACGTAAAATCCCCACGACACTCGTGTCCCCTGCTTGAGTTGTCTCGCGCGCAGTCAAACGTGCGAGGCCTCGCCCTCCGCTCCCAACTGTTCAAGAGAAAGTTATCCTAGCAGAAGTAGCTGAGAAGCAACAATCTCCAGCTGAACCCATCTACATGGACTCAGAGGACGAGTTCATGGACCCCGGATTGAAAACGAATGTCCTTCTAACTCTTCCTCTGGAAACCTTTCCCTCTCTCCAACGCCAACTCCCGTATTGATAACAGCTATCCAACCGCATCCCCCAAAAAAACCTCTGAGAAGAGATTCTACTCAGGGTATCTTCTGTTGAGATTGGTGCTTCCAATTATGGTAAAGACAGGGATGTGTAGAATACACACTACTAATCTCCCATTAATTGTGAGGTTAGTATTAATGCGCTTTGACGTAAATACCAACCACTAGATTTTATTATTACAAAATATAGTTTATATAGCACTCTGTGTCCTAGTGGGAGTAATTAACAACTCTCCACGACAGATTTACAGACTTCTTTACTTTTCCACTCGCTTCACCAAGTGATATAATCTGTGCCTTACAGCCACAAGCTTTTTGCAAACCAATCTGCTCAACATCTTCAGCTCCATTTACGCGTCCACCAAAGACAACGCTACAATTGAGCAACAACCTACCTCAACTCTCCCACAATCTAGCGCGCGTACAACAGCGCGGATTATCGAACACCCCTCGGCAGCTATGACAAATAACAGAGCCGCTTCAATGTTGGCCTGGCAAAATGCTAGAGCCCAACATCTATTGTAATTTGTTTGCTAGACCTGGCAGTGGAGCTTATCACAATTAGAAAGTATTTACTAGACTGCAGTGGTGGCTCGTCACAGATGCAATTGCAACAATACAATTGAAGGTTGTATGAAAGTTTGGCACTTCTATTTCATGGATAAACGTTGTTTTCCAATATTAGAGCGACGGGTACTATAGGTTTTCTTTGGTGCAAATTATCCAATAAATTATATATGAAGTTTACATATAACAACTACCTCTACCCTGGGACTACTCTCTAAAGGAATTCTACAGAGGAAAAGTTTTCCACTTCAGCTCTGACCACCTTTCCTTCAATGACTAATCCATGACTAACCCAAAGCTCCTTCCTGATTAGTTTCAGGGTTAAGTTTACTCCAAGCAGATTGGGATACTGTGTATGTTTTTGTTTTTTATTTTAAAGTCCTAAGCTAAAGCTCTAGGCCCACTATTGGTACAAGACTGGTTGAGCCGGTGAGTTTCTCTGCGTGCAGGCCCAACTCATTCCAACTGCGAGAACCTCAACAAAAGTAGATGAAGTTAACAACAAAACTTAAATCAAAACTAAAATCAAAGCGTAAATCAAAAAAAAAAAACAGAAATAAACTGAAAAAATAAATAATAATTTAGAAGAATTTCATATGTGGTTCAGATCTCGCGCTTCTCGCCTGTTTCCTTCCCTACCACATCTTCCAAGTGACTTTTCCTAATCTCTACTGAGAGCAAAAGATGAGGTCTCATGTAACCTTTGCTGTTGGTTGGTTTCCTGCTTTTTGTTGTGAAAGTTGTTGTAGACTTCACCAAGGACTGCCGAGTCCTCAAACTTCTTCTTCGGTTTCTAGAATTCCGAAACCCGATCCCTCCGCCATGGAGACGTCCTTCGCAGAGGCGTTCCTCGCCTCTTCGTCCTTTTGTATGCAGCTTTGACACGGGCAAAGTCTGCATATCTTCCTTGCTCGACTTTGCGAATTGCTGCGAGCTGTTCCTTGGTCACCGGTCCATCTTTTCTGGGTCTGGCTTGGCAGTGCCGAGAGTCCGATCGGTGAGGTCCCCCACAATTGCGACACCGTGTGGGGGTTTTGCATTCAGTTTCAGAATACATTTTTGATCCGCAGTTCCAGCAAGCCGGAGCGCGGGAGCAGCCACGTGAGGCATGGAATCCAAGACATCGATTGCACTGAACTATTTTTCGACGAGGTTGGAAAAGCTTTGCAGCTCCGGAGTCATCGAAGAAGCGAAATCCAGGTCGGGGCGTGGATTTGCGAGGGAAGAGCGCTTGCCAGTTCTCGTATGGCGCCCCAGGCTTGCAGTACCCGTGCGGACGGACAAGAAACGGAACCGATTTCGTCACTCGCGTGACTTTGTCAGCAACCATCTTTGCCGTGATCTCGATGGGGCCTGCAAGTGTGTTTATTGTCACCGGTACGGTGGCAATTTTCAAGGCAACCAGATTTGATGCTGGTTCCAGTTTGATTCCAGATTCGCTCCGTGACATGGAGGAATCTAGGAGCTCTTTCCGAGCGAGTTTATTCTTTGCTGTCAGTGCAAAGCCTGTTTTGACCCGCTGAACCAACGTGATATCGTCGGCAGCGGTACCAAGCACCTGTGACACAGCTAATCTTACGCCAGCTGGTGACAGGAGTCGGTGGGGGTGGTTAGCTTTGAGGCGTAGAAAAAGTCTCGCGTCGACTTTTGTCCTCGGATTGGCACTTTTTGCTTTTGGGGTGGGCGGTGCTGCCTTTGTAGTCGACGGCCCGGCGCTGCGGCCTAGACCTGCACGGGCTACTGTGGCCCAAGTCGTCTTTGGTGCCGGAGCCTGGGTTGTCGTAGGGTTAGGTACCCTAATTTCATGAGCCCTCGGCGGAGGAGGGTTGATGGGGCGCGCAGGGAGAGCTGGTGGAGTGCTCCCTGGGCCTGATTGTATGAACTGGCCAATGGCCGCTCGAAGGTAGACTTTGATGCCGTCTACAAACTCTTTTTCGTCGCCAATCGAGAGAGGCGAAAGTGCTGCTTCAACACTGCTTATTGCAGTGGAACAGATTGATAAACGTGACTTGATTTGCGTCGTGCGACGCTTCTCGGCCTCCATCACTGATTGCAGCTCCGGTGGATATTCCGGTGCTGATGTCGAAGCTGCGCCTTTTGAGGCTGGCACACAATTTTTTCCGGCAGGCAATTCTGCACATTCGGTCGTCTTTTCTCTGACGACCTCCTTTCCTTTCCTGGAACTGCTTGCCTCAGGGGCCAGCTCGGCGGGTTTCGCGGTCTGTTGACCATTTGTTTCTGTTCTGATCGGGTCAGAATCAGTCATCTCTTGATCGGGAAGGTTTGAAGACTTCCCAGGGATAAAGGCCTCACTCGCAAATAGGCTTGATAATTTTTGCGCGAGGCCAGGTGTTTTTGCAGGAGCCCTCGGGCGGACTCTCGCGTTGTCCAACATTGAGTTGAGGAGCTTTTTTCGAACAGGAGGCATGATGAAAATGCCAGTGACTCGATTACAATTTGTTGAAGGAATGCGACGAGCGCGAGAGGGAGGGAGAGGGGAAAAAGGGGAATATTCGAAAACTCGAATTTCAAAAAATTGTGTGTGAGTGATTGAGTGAGTTTGTTTTTTATTGTACTACTTGAGTCTATGACTATCTAGCACATTGGACTCCTCTCTGACCCAGACCACACCTTGTGCAGTGCTCCTATCCTCTTTTGTTACTTGAAAGATCATTGATATGTTCCCCTTGATGAATAGCCATTCAGCTCAGTATTTACCCGTGGAACACGGCCACCTTTTCCACGGAACCTTCTACCCAAAAAAAATAAAAATGGTAGCAATGGAAACTGCGTGCACGGGGAAAAGTCTCAAAAAACCTGCAGCCCCAGCCAGGCGAGGCCTAGACACCGGGACCACATGAGGTGCGCATATTCATCTATATCTCCCTTCTTTGTAACAGTCGAGGTCGACTTGATCCAGTCCGCCATCTCCGTATCGGGTGCTGGGTACGCTCCGGAAACTCATCGGATGGCTTTTCATCCATGATCAAGGGTTAGTGATGAGTAGGGCTCCAACCCTAACATTTGATCTGATCGTGGTTAAATTCATGATGATGGTGGTAGGGGTATGTTTTGAGAGATGAAGACGGTACAGACCGCGAAAGCGATTGGAAATCCTCGTGGAAGCGGGGACTTTGTTACTCAATCTCGGCTCTGCAGACTCTACAGTGAGATCTGGAAGTTCGTAGGGGACACCACTGACAGGTGTTGAGAATAGCCCCCCTCCTGGTGGTGTTCTCTGGTATAGTGTTGGAAATATCGCACAATGAAATGGGCGCGACATTCATGGAAGGAAAGTAGAAGTTGACTAAAAGAGTGTCATGTTCGGATTAAAGCTAAAAGGGTGGGAGATGTGCGCTACAAGTACAAGTGTGGATGGCAAGGCTGAACACCTGTGCGCGGTGTCCTCTACGAACCTTGGAGTGAAATATTCTCCCAGAGCCAAGTTCAGTCAAATTTCGCTATATCAAAGAAGTTGGCCCACGAGGCAAAGTTTAAATTTGTTCCACCTCGTCGTCTTCCCGCTCCCAACGAGTTTGAAGCCTACCTAAGTCTCATCAAGTCTGCAAGTACGACCAAGTACATCCTCATGCCAATGACCACACCTCTCCGACCTTCTCTGGTCTCAGTTTACCACCAAATACACGCCCACGCCTTTATTTGTATCCCACGGAGGAAGCAAAGCGTGGCGCACAAATCTGAGAGATAGTTCTTTGGGATGGGCGTGAGTGGGATCAGGACAAGCTTACAAGATGATGCAAAGGAAAGATATAACTTCCATGGGCGCGAATTTTGGAATTTTGGCAAGCAGTTTTACAAATTGAGCTTTGTGCGCGCCAAGACTTCGCTTGTGAAAGTGCAGATGACACTATAAAAACAAGCCAACGATGGAAGGTGACGTGGACCGCCTCCTGGTAGTGTTCTCTGGTATGGTTTGAGTAGCCTGGGCACCTACTCCACTTGGGAAAGAGACACCTCAGATCACATATCGCGCGGAGAAAAGTTGAAAGATGATGGAGGCATGTCTGGATAACTCAGGGTTTTTGAGACGTTCCCCTGGATGGGTATTCACGGATGAGAGTGGACTTGGGGTGAAGAAAAAGCCACCAGAACTTCGCAGTGGTACTTGCAAATGAAATCCGAGGCATGAGTGCTCTTCTTTTACGTTGAATCACCTATTCTGTACTTTTCTTTGATATTGTGTCATAGCTAGATAGCTGCATACGCAATTAAAATCTGATGCAAAAAAAAAAGTCAACTTCTGCTCTCGTTCCATAAATATTGCGCCCATTTCATCGTGCGATATTTCTAAAACGAAGTGAGGACAAGGTTGTTACTCAAACTTGACCCTGCAGCCTCCACAGTGAGAGCTGGAGGCTCGTAGGAGACACCACTGACAGATGTTGGGAATAGTCCTCCTACCAATCTATGAATTACTCTTCTTCTTGCATTTAACGCCTCGTAGAAATTACAAGCTTCATTTCTTCGGGAGTTTGTCATGATCATTCTTATTACTACTGATAACCTCTACAAAATCCCCTGTTAGATCCTACAAGTGTATGTATCATATTGATCAAGTTCAGGGCTACTCTAAGTAATGTCGCCAAATATAGTCGTCAATAGCTCGCCGGAGAATAGAATTGTGTCCCCTCAACAAACGTGCACAATTTGGTCTCCGTTCCATGTCTAATATGGTAATGAGAAAAGCCAGCAAAAAAATTCCCTACAAAGTTGATAATTATATAATGATGGTATTCACCTTTGGCCAGCCTGTTTAGCGAGCTGGATGTTCAAGAGAGGAATGAGATATTCATACCAAAATATGGCACCTGACTACCTCCAATATGATAAGCGTAAAGCAATTCGTTGGGAAATGGGTCAAATTTGCATTTTTCCAGGCTAGAGACACTACGTTCGAGTTCTTGATACGCTTTTGCGGCAAAATCTACTATTTCTGTTTCGGTGTAAATTGTATTTTGTAGACATGACATACTGAAGTTAGAGTTTAAAACAGGACGTCTGGCTCCATTACTGAAGATTTGACCTTCATCAGTTATGTGGATTGAAGCCGACATAACCACGAATAAGGCCATGGTAGCAATAGAAAGAAATTTCATTTTGCAGCAAGCTTATCCCGTTCAGCTCAGGGCTACACGGTCTAGATTGGAGGGACTGCCGAGTAATTGAGGATAGTAGAGGTAGCCACTCTTAACAGAGACAAATTTCAGAAGCAGCTAGCGATTGCTTTATATATTAAAGGATTCGGACAGCAGAGCTTTCATCCTTTCCTTTTTTGCCAGCTCATCTGAATGGGGCCATCCTACCAGCACGGCAAGTCTAGGCATGATTCTGCCTAAGTTTCTTGGCAATCAGCAGCGAGTTTCGAAATTGTCATTAATATAACACTTGTAGATACTAATCTACTGAGAAATTTAGCACATTTGTCTGGTTGTGCATTGTATAGTTATTGTTATCGTCCTACTAATCCAATGGCCATGTAGACATGCAGGTCCCTTCCGGCTTACCCGCTACTGGTTGTCTAGGGTAACCTGGGTGCCCAGCCTTGGATGTGATCAGGACTTGGCCAACAGCTGGGCCTCTCGAGCAGAATTAGATCTTTTGGTTATTGCTATGTAAGGCAAAACAGCGCACTAACCGTCAAGCAATAGCAGATCCTTCAACCTGTAATGCAGCAAATATATTTACAGATGATAAGACGGGAAAGATAGGAATGAGTCAAAGTGTAACACCTTCTAGAATCCATAAACACCTGAGCTGGGCCCAGAGCAGCAAAGCCATGCAGATAAGAAGCGAACACATTGGGCCCAATTATTATCTGTACAGAAGAAAAGTTACAGGAGTAGATAAGCACCGAGGCTAGTGTGGACATCTCTCTCAGAATGTGAAGTACATTATCATGGCCTGCACCAGCTGGGCCAAAGGTAGAGGAGAAATACTGAGAAAGGTAGAAAACCGGTAATTTGAGGCAATGATGAATAATCCCATAGATATTGCAAGGATAACTCGAAGGATCCAGTAGGAAGGAAGGCTAGAGTAGTTTCGACTGATGCTTGAAGTTGAGGCCACGATGAGAGAGAGAGAGAGAGGGAGAGAGAGCAGGGGAAAGATGATCTCCTGCCAGCAGCAAAGAAGTGGACGGTATCTGCACTGGAAATAACAGTGTTAGTGCACTTCGTGAAGGTAACACAACTTTAAAGTGTTTATAAATTGACAAGTTGAAGGGGTTTTTTGCCACAAAGGTTTCCTTCTATGTAAACATTAGAGTTCTTAGACACCTGCATGGGCCTTAAGGCGCCAAATCTGGCGAAATGAAATTAAACTCAAAAAAATGGTTGTGTAAGTTTATTTTCAGGGCATACTGTGCTTGCGCACAATCCAGTACAGTGCGGACTCGTTATAATGATGTGATTCCGTTAGGCTGTCTTATATTGTTACAACGCGATGATGATGAATGAAAGTTTATTCGTGACGGGCACAAGCTCCGCACTCAAAGGGCATGACGCGGAGATGACTAGCTTCCGCGAGGACTACATATGACGCTAACTCAGATTGAAATTTGGAGGACTCATGTATTGGGTGCATCCGTTGATACCACTCGTGATCTTGGTGCTGGGTACTTTCACTCCTCCCTCAACTGTTAATATCCGCCAAAGGGAGAACAGGAAAAACCTTTGGCTACCCTAACATGCCTTTGTCATCTTGTGTCATTTAGAGACATGATTCATTCATGAGTTGATATTGTTCAAACAAGCATGACTATATCATAACATCATATATAGACACGATTCATTGTTTGTACTTGTTGTATCAACCATGACTATGTCTCAGTAATAGCAGAAATATCATTGACTAGTTACTAGGAAATTGGTCAAGATCCTAAACATGTAACTGAGACTATTAGAATTTTACTGAGCAAGTAATTATTCTGAAGAATCTAAATCTGGAGGAACATAATCTGGTTCCTTGGCTCGAGGTATATGAGGCGGAACATATCATGTACAATAAAATATATAAAGATCTATCTCAATCACAATGTGACGGCTTGTGAGCCGATAAGTCCTGTAGCCTTCGATGGCTATAGAGGGCAACCTATATTCTCTATCACTCTAAGGATTACCAGCAGACTAAAACAGATACGTAATCGCCACTGAGGCTACGTAAAGGATAGTGCCAAGAGTATCGGAAGCGTTACTCTTGTGGCAGAACAAACTTTAAGTCAGTCTCATTGCTACTGTAAGCGTAGGCTAAATTTAGATACCTCTGGATGTGTATAAGTAGTAGAGTAGACTTGCAGGTTGTTTGATTCTACATAGATGAATTCTAGCTTTACATTTCAATCATACAAATACCCATCTGCTTTCTATATTCGAACTGTGACACAAAATCATCATCTTAATTCATGTTGTTGTAATCTAACGTTTTTCATCCTCGGACTCCACGGTGAACAGTTGTTGTGTAGCACGTGATGCCATGCGGGGGAGAAGGAACATGATGGCGAAAGCCGCCAGCCAGATCTAAGCGATCTGGCCTACTTGTAGATGGAGAAATCCCTTTTGTATAGAGACAATACAACCCTAACTAGTACAACAACAAGTAGCCTGGGCACCTACTCCACTTGGGAAGGAGATATCTCAGACCACATTTCGCGCGGAGAAAAGTTGAAAGATGATGGAGGCATGTCTGGATAACTCAGGGTTTTTGAGACGTTCCCCTGGGTGGGTATTCACGGATGAGGGTTGACTTGGGGTGAAGAAAAAGCCGCCATAACTTCGCAGTGGTACTTGCAAATGAAATCTGAGGCATGAGTGCTCTTCCTTAACGATGAATCATCTATTCTGTACTTTCTTTGATATTGTGTCATAGCTAGATAGCTGCATACGCAATTAAACTCTGATGCAAAAAAAAAAAAAGTACAACAACAATAGTAAGGAACTCATAAATCCACACCTCAGTTATATCATACATCGTGACCCATAAACCTCACTCTTATCTCTATCACTACATGAAAAAGCTTCAACAACACTGACCACATTGCCCTTGAGTACTTCATGAGCACCAAGTATTTGACAGCCCGCCAGGCCAGGTGGGTCGAATTCTTTGCTGACTTTCATTTTATAATCATGTATTGCACTGGCATAAAAAACGCGTCGGCCGATACCCTCTCTTGACGGGATCAGGAGTTGACTCCATTAGAAGCTCGCAAACGTGATATTTGCCACCAATAACTAATACCTGTTGTAATTAAGGGAGTAACATGACTGCATTACAATAAACTGTTCACATTAGAATGATGTGCACATTCGTCATGGGATATAATTGACCTAGATCATCACTCATTGGTATGACACAGTATTTCCCAATAGATTCCTAATGGTATCTATTGGCGCTAGGATCTCTCACATCCTTCCTTTCTCGGTTAGACAAGGACAGATGTTGGAACATCCACTAGTGTGCAGAACCCCCTTATTCATGTATATAGAAGAAGGTCCTGTCACGTAGATAGCTTAAGCAATTAATACAATAGGAAATTCAAACAATCTCCATATTATCTACACACTTGAGAATACTAGGGAATATCCTCAAGTTCGTCCATTGATCCAAGTCCTAAGAGTATAACTCACGAACTTTACTTCTCTTAAAGCCTTAGCACCTCCATCCATACCTTCATCCCAATGGTACGTCATTCCAGCTCAGCAGAGCCTTCCAATATCTTCTTCCTCTGATAAATGAGACTCTGAATGCTCTGAACTCTGCTAAGTGGCTCACAAAGCTAGATGTGTCAGCTGCTTTTCACAGGATCAGAATGGCTAAAGGTAAAGAACGGAAGACAGCATTTAGGACAAGATATGGCTTATTCGAGTGGAAAGTTTGTCCTTTTGGACTTACTGGATGTCGGGAACTGAAGATAGAGGTTACTGGGATACAATGGTTGCCATGGCTTACGAATTGAGTAATCGAGTAATCAAATAGTAGAAGGTGGACTCTATTGTTTCGACTGACCTGAGGATGATACGGGTCTCTAAGAAGAAGTTGTATTTAGACATTAGGCTACGCTACGTAGGTAGGAGAAAAGTCAGAGAGAAAGGAAGTGCTGGGAGCTTCGAGCTTGAGGTAAGCTCGACCGTGGCTCCACCTTAGTCCGGTCTGCATCCCCGTTATACATTATCATGTGATCCCGGATTCTTCCTCCAGTCTACCTCCAAGTGCCCTAGCAAGTCCAACCATAACATTACCCCCCCCCCCCCTGGAAAAACTACGTCCTCGAAGTTGTAGTCATGGGTCTATTGTCCTCCAGGTGGTTATAGTCCTCGATTCCGTTGTTGTAGGCTGTCAGCCAGGCCGGTAGGCCGCGGGGGGACCTTTTGCCTGTCACAAACCATCACTGGGATGTCGTGTCGCAGCCAGGCAACCGAGTTATGACGTGCATACAATAACACAATTTAGGTATTTTAATGGTTACAGTGTTGTGATAGCAACAGTTGCCATTTAGAGTACTAGTTAGTTACTGTGTTATGGCTGTAAACTACTACACCCTTGGTTATAGTATTGAAGCTCGTGTACTTAAGGAAGCTCTAGGACTGGATGTGTACTGTAGCTTTTTGTCTTGTAAATTACTCATATTTTAGAATCTAATTATTAATCTCAATATCTCGTCCTCATTATCAGCCTCTGTCTTCGTCTTCGTCCTCGTCCTAGTCTCCGTCTCCGTCTTCGTCCTCGTCTTCGTCCTCGTCCTAATCTCCGTCTCCGTCTCCGTCTTCGTCCTCGTCTTCGTCCTCGTCCTAATCTCCGTCTCCGTCTCCGTCTTCGTCTTCGTCCTCGTCTTCGTCCTCGTCTTCGTCTCCGTCTTCGTCTCCGTCTCCGTCTTCGTCCTCGTCTCCGTCCTCGTCCGTGACATTGCCTGAGGGTGACTGAGGTGCCACCTATTCAACAGGTGAGGCGCTGTCATGACATCTGAACAGGGGTACCAGGTCAGGTCCTTGTCAGCATCTTTCCACTTAATTTGGTATTGAAGGACTTTATTGGAAATTCTGGCACCAACAATATCCTCGACTTCCCATTTTGTATGTTCTGGTAAGAGCTGGATGGGTGCCGGTTCCGCCCGAACTTGGCCAGTGTGACGGCTTGTAAGCCGGTAATTGCCTGTAGCCTGCGCTGTCAAACGTAGGCTTAGCATGAAACTAGGCAGGGACTATTCTTGGAAGCAGGGTCTTATAACTTGGCAAACACCTCTATGAATAGGGCACGAGAAGGGATACGAGAAGAGATACGAGATGGGATACGAGATGGGATATGGATATACGGATAGAAAACTGTGTCATTGGCCTGGATAATAATCATGTATAAAGTAACTTTTATTATCCTCTTCAATCTGTAGTTCACCATAGATTGAAAATAAACAACCTCTGACCATAAGGTTGCTCAAGTGCCTATGCTTAGACTGTGACAGCCAGGAAGCGGATTCCGGACGTATCTCCGCAAAGAGTGAGAGTGGAAAACAGGATAGATTGTCCAGCCCTTGGGAAGCTTGACTTTTCAGCTCTCTCCCACCTTTTCAAGCACTTCTACAGGACCGTACCACTTGTCAGATAGCTTTCGGGCGGGCCTGTCCATCTTCCAGTTCCAAGTATCAATCATAACTTCATCACCAACACTCCAGTCTACTTCGCGACGGCGAAGATTGGCTAGACGCTCCATCTTGGCTTGCTGTTCTTGTAGCGATGACTGGGCGAACTTGATAACTTTTTGAGCTCTTGTTGCCACTTTTAATGCCTCTTCTCTATTAAGTTTCTCCGTAATTGAGACAGCGTGCTCAGGGTTGACGAGGTCCCACGAAGTGCGAGGTTCTGTACCATTGACGACCTGAAAAGGGGATATGCCACCCAGGGATTCGTGAGGAAGAGTTAATTGTGCAATATCCATGATAGGTAGCAACTTTCCCCAGTTGTCTTGATAGTATGTGCAGAAGGGGCGAAGCCTCTGCTTGATATACTGGTTTATGATTTCATTCTGCCCGTCTACGTTAGGGTTGAAGGCAGTAGTGAGCTTAACCTTTATACCTAAGATGCGGCAGAACTCTCTCCAAAAATTTGAAACAAATTGAGGTCCTCTGTCTGAGACTATGGAGTCAGGCATGCCGAAATGACGGATCCAGTGAACTAGGAAGAGCTCTGCAAGACCTTTAGCAGTGACATTCTTGTTGCAATGAATTGATACCGGCTTCTTGGTTAAACGGTCTATAATCACCAGCACGAAGTTATGTCCCTCTTCTTCCAGAGGCAATTCCGTAAAATCCATGGTCAAGTGTTGATAGGGACGAGCTGGGATAGGAAGGGGCTTCAATAGACCTGGAGTCTTGTCCCGTAGAGCTTTCATGCGGACACATTGATAGTTCTGTATGTAACGGATGATGTCAGCACCCAGTCCTTTCCAATAATATCTTCGGGAGACTAAAAGCTTCGTCTTGCCAATCCCTGCATGAGTTACGCTAGGTTGATCGTGGATGTGCCGGATGAGAGCTGTTCGGAGGATGGCAGGCTCTAGAGGTACGACCAGCCTTCCCTGGAAGAATAACTTTCCAT